GGCGGCCGTGCGCGGCGGCGCGGGAGCAGGGCCGTCCCGGGGCCGCCTTTCGGGGTTGTGCTTTACCTGCGCCTCCTCGGTGCCGGGACGAAACTTCGCCGGAAGCGTCTAGCTGCAGGCGCGGCAGTTTTCTAGTTCACACTGCGAGTGGGAAGGGACTGCTGAGCAGTAGGAGGTGGCCCCTGACAGCCGCGCTCCGCCTGGGGTGCCCCCTCCGCGGAGCGCGCCGGCGAGCGCGCGCGCACGGGGAACGTGCACAAAGATGCACACGCTCACACGTGTGAGCGCCTGCACACTTGAGCGGAGACACACGTGCACGCGTACATGCACACGCGAATACACGCGCGCTCGAACACGCGCACACAGGCACACAGCTAGACGTGCACCCTGCAGCCACGTGCGAACAATGCACACGCGCACGCGGAGCCCGCCAGTTTCTTCCTGGAGCTTTATTCTCCGGCAAAAATGGGGGCGACGGACCGCCCCCCCCGCCCCCGGCTGGCGCTAAGCAGGCGGGCTCGGACGCCCAAAGGATAAAAGCGCCCTAACGCCGTAGCTGCACCAACGGCCGAGCTCTGCCGTCGGTTTACCTTGACTTAACCTTCTCCCGAAGAACTCCCTCTCTGCCAAGTCCTAATTTTATAGCTTGGACTGCTTCTGAGTTGTGTGACCACCGTCACGGCCACAGTCCGTTTTGAAAAGTGGAGCACAGTTTTAAAATGTACCTCTTTGTCATCCTCGAATAACATCGAGACTCTGAAAAAAAAAAATGAGGTTGAGATTTTCACACATCACACCCAAAATTATTTTGGACCCATTCCAAAACAAAAACTTTCACCCAGGGAAGAATTTTTCTTTCAAAAGTACCGACCACCGTGGAATAAAAACGTCTGCTCTGCAGCCCCGAGCGGGGCGTTAGGCACCGCCAGGTCCCGCTGTGCGAATAGAGGAGGCGTGTGTAGATGTCCGCTTCGGCGCGGCCGCTCTGATTGGTCCGCGTTGCCATTTTAAATCCATTTCCAGCTGTCCTTTGCGGAGTCGGGACACTTCACTGCAAGTTGAGTGCTTTGCAGGAACCCAGGGTTGCTCCCGGATCTGGGAACGCTTAGCTGGGATGGAGAGGGAGAGCCCCCATCGCTCCAGATGGAGCCCAGCGGCTGACTGGGCAGGGAGGGGGTCTAACAGCAACCAAAGGTTTTCTGTCAGGGTTTGGCTGAAAGATGGTATCTTCATCAAAGGGATTGAAATTTCACCTACTACTGCAGTGACATTTCTTAACTGCCAAGTTTGCACTCGTTTTTTTCTTTGTGATCACGCATTTGTACCGCGGTGTGCACATTTTACATGCCCGCGCAGAACGGGCTCCTGGGCTTGTTTTTGTTTGCTTGTTTTTTGCCGGGAAAGGAGATAAAATTATGAGGATGAATGTAGGCAAAGACGCTCAGGAAGTCAGTTAGCTCGTTTTATATAGGTCACCTCATTACATCCGAGGATTTTGTTTTTTAATGCGCAGAACGGGCAGGAAGGGATTCTAAAATTTTTTGTTTGCACTAATTCTTGAATTTAAAAGGAAGCTCTGAAGTGTAGGAGGGGCACTGTCCAGTCAGTTGTTTTTAGTCCACTTCGCTATCAGATTACTTGATCCCTTTGAATTTGCATAAAGAAGGATCAAAAAATTGTGTCAAGTTCTGTCTGCTTTATATAGTTTCATTCTTTGGAAGCTGTATTTCTTTCAGGTTGCTATTTATTTTCTTAGGCAAACAATACAATGTGTTTGCATCTTTTAAAGTTTTTAGACTTATTTCCTTTAAGTGGTGTCCTCATATATTTTTAAGTAAAGTTAAACAGCTTTATTTAAAAAGTTTGCTTTTTACATTTACATTTGTGAGATTGGGTTTTCCAGTTTAGGTTCCTCGGTCACCCACTTCCTCTCCTTTCTCACATATTACCCATCCATTCAAAGCTAAACTCTTCTTTCTAATTTGCAAACTTTCCAGGTGGTTTCTGTCCACATTAAACTGGTTCTTTTCTTCTTCTGCACTTACTATCAAATTGAACAATTAGCACCTAGGTTATATATGTTCACAAAGTTTCTAATTATCTGTAACACATGGTTTAGATTAGTGTTTAGATCAAGTCAACTCGTTAGTGGGTGGTAAAATCAATTTGGGAGACCCAGAACATCATTCTTTAAAAATAAATAGAATAAAATGTAATACGTAAAATTTCTGTTTTAGTTATGTAGTACAGATGATAAAAATTGTTTGAGGATTTCCCACACCTTGGCAATTGAGATATATCTTAGAGTTCAAGGTATATTAGCAGTGTGTTATCCTATAGTAGGTAATATCCTTGCTATTTTAGTGGTTACATGATACTGCATGTGTCTTGCACGTATAAAGACCTGATTCCTTAACAGAGGTTACAACGAGACATGTTTAGATGCCACTGACTTAATTATGAGACTTGGGTTCCTTTACAGCTCCTCTTAAGCTGGGTCTTTGTAATTACTGTGATGTTTAGCAAATCATTTCTCCTCTTTCTATCTCAGGGTCTTCATTTCTAAAATGAAAGATAAGAATAATCTCTGAGGGTGCTTTGAGTTCTAACAGACTATAAACCATGTATAATATTTTGCTTTCTAACTGCATCAGTATTTGAAACTTGCATGTATATTCTCTGACTGCAAGCAGCATTTCTAGAACCTTTTTTAGTAGCAGTTTTGTCTACGTAGTATTCATTTCAAAATAGACTTTTGCTCATCACTTACTAATTTATTGCTATAGCAAAAGTACTTTTAATAAAGCTACTATTTTATAAAATATACCATGTAGGATGAGAAAATCATAAATATATTAAAATACCTTCACAATTAGTTTGACTAAAAAGACATTCATATGTAATAGATTGAGGTTCTCACACTATATCACATAATATTTACACTTTAATACATTCATAAATTAAGGAATAATTTAGGGATTTCTCAGATTTATAATGGATTAAATGAATTATGAATGTTTTACTACTGAGATTTATTATAAGCAGGTATTTTGAAAGTAAATCTATATAGTCAAAGAAAATATATAACAAATATAAATTAAACCGAATATGTATATATATAGAGAGACATGAAATGTAGATAGAAACTCAATACAAAGTAAATATATTTGCTTGCCTTCAGAGAGTTGCATTTTAATTTGGCTGGAAAAATATCCCACATGTTTTCAAACAAGCTCATTTCCACTGCTGAAACTCAAAATTTAGACATTATGTCTCTTTAAGTGTTTACTGTATAATAAATTGTAGATGAAACTACCTCTAAGAGCTTTCCTGTAGTATTACTATAAATGAATATACACTGGTGGATAGGGTTTTTTTCCCCCACTTTAGGCAAGCTTCATACTTTAATAGTCAAAGAATCACCAAAAAAATGTATTTATTCACTCATCTATCAACAAACATTGGTTTTAAATGAATTCATTACAGATTGGTTTGGTTTTGCAAGAATCTCACCTATTATTCTCTTCAGGACTCAGGAGTGTAATTAATCTAGAACTAAAGAGAATCTCTTCTAAAACAAATAGTGCTCGTTTAAAATCTACCTATTATGATTAACCTCTTCCATTTACCCTTTTGAATGTTTATTCTCCTCTCTCCGGGCCACAGCTCATTCAACAACTCTTTATTGAGCATTTAGTATGTTCCAGGAATCACTGAACATTCTTTTTGACAAAAGTGAATAGCAGAACCGAAATGGAAGAGCTTTATTTCCATTTTTTATGTATTGACATTATACTGTCAGCCCCAATCTGGTTTTCTATGTTATCAATCAGATTTGAAGAGCAGGATGAACATAGATTATGAGATCAGTTTAGACATGAGAAGTATGGTAAGTAGAACTCTAAAACTGACCCCGAGATTTCCTCTTGCCCCAGCTTCTGTGCATGTATATGCAAAATCTCCAGAACTATAATGCTATATTTTACTTCAGAGATGAGCTTGTGTTAAATCGCATATGTTAAGTTAGGGAAAATGACTTAACAGAGAAGTTATTACTCGAGAAGCCTCTCCTAATCGTGTGTTTAAAGCTGGGCTTTCTCTGCCTCAGCTTAGGAGACAAAGTTAGAGATTTGCAAGTCAAGAAAGATTTGACTCACTCTTTTTTTTTTTTTTTTTTTTTTTT